CTTTTTATTACACAAAAAACATGTAGAATACGCTAAAAAGAATTTCAAAAGGTAGAAAAATTATCACTTTACCTCTTCAGATAATGCTACAGATGTAGATTCGTTAATGGTTCCACTCTCAGGCACAATAGTCTCAGAAGTTGAATCCTCTGCAAAAAAAGAAAATCCACATCTTTAAACATTTCCAACTTCAGAACAACATATAAAAAAAAAGTTGATTGAGGGAAGAAACAAAACTGCTGGGATAAGCCGATGATCCGTCTAGAGAAACCGGATTTTCGCTTTGTGTTGAGAATTTTTCCTTGGGAAGATCGGTAGAGATTGTTGTTTTGGATGTTGAAAGAGAGACTTGTTTCTTCTTAGGTTGTGGCCTACCTTTTGGTTTAAACCTTGCACCAGCTCTAGCTATTAAATTCAAATTCATATGTATCAGCCAAATTAATCAAATCCAAACAAGTCATCAAACAAAAAAAACCAATTACCTGCTGGTGCAGCAAGATCCGAGGGTTGATCATCGAAATCTAAATCCATCGAACTTCGATTTGTGTTTCACAAATACTCTCCCTCACTCCAAAATGTCACCTACTTCTTCAATACAAGGCAAAGCAAGCTCTTGTCAAACCATTAATATCTATGTTAAGTGAGCAATGCTAAGCAAAAAACAATATCAATGACAGATCTCAATTTATATTATCTATCTGTAGTCTCACAAGTTGATAGCAAAAACAAACAAAAGCAAGGAAAATGTTGTAATCAATCAAACATTCAACAACAAAGAAAACACTTAAGCGTTATTTTTTTCGAACTTGCCTCCTCCTAAATTCATTAACAACTTTCTACCCAATAAAACTATCGCCGGAGTCGAATCAATTCAGGATGTGTAGATCAGACAAAGAATCTCCGTGACAAGGAACCAATCGCACGCTCGAGCCAAAAGCTCCACGAGTAAAGGCGAAATTGAAATTGAAATCAAGGGTTAGGGTTTCAAGAACATTACCTCCGAGGAAGAACGCTGTACGGAGGCGGAAGGAAAATCTCCGGCAGAAATCGAGCGGATCTCCGACGATGAAAGAGAATTCACGTCTCTTATCGCGTAGATAAAGGTATAATAAAACAAGGTTTCATAGTTGATCGTGCAGGCTAGTGGTCAATGATGACCTCTTGTAGCGTTCGGTTTTGACCTCGCGCTAGGGTTCGATACTCCCTCTTCGCCACACTAGTCACTTAAATGCCTCATTAAATTCACCATATAGCCCTTAGTGGGCCTGACGCTCTTAAAGGAGAGGCCCAATTGTTCGATGTTTTTGGAAGGTAAGTCTTAATCCACTCGTAGTGACACGTGGCTCATTCAGGAATTTCTTCCGACAAAATGCAATAAAGCTTTAAAATTAAATCATTTTCTCTCTTCCACTGCCTGAAATCTCTTTTGCAGACAGATCAAATCTCTTCTTCATTCGCGAAAACTAGTAAGTCTCTGTCTTCGTCTG